TGAGTCAACCCTGAGCCGGTGAGATTTGAACCGCTGACCTGCTGATCTAGCAGTAGCCTGCAGTGCTGCATTTAACCACTGCGCCACCTTGGCTCAAGCAGAAGCCCTCAGGTTAAAAAGGTTTTTTTAAAGACTTTTTAAAGATCTGTCAGTCATTTCAAGTTTATACTATGTCAGAAATGCTAAACGGAAGTCAGTTGTACCTGACCCATAACCCTCCTACTAACCCGTGTGAAAACGGACTGTACTAACTTACTAAAGAGGGGGGAAAAATCCCTAAAGCTAAGTGCCTGCCTGCAGGAGACTCATTTACAGCTGGGCAGACGCTGAAGGTTGCTTCGGAGTGTGGAATCTAATCTCAGAGCTGAATTATGCTGGAGTGATTTGCATTCTCCTGGTTTAATTGACAAGCAACAATTAGCCCCAAGTTTGCCATTCAGTGGTTTGTTTTTGTTGTTCCCTTGGATTCCCAAAGTTATAGTCTGAATAATCAATCCTCTTTGTAAGTCTGGGTTCCCTGCATATTTGGGAAATTTTATATATGCGTGTTTAACATTCCCTGCCGGCTGTTTTCTTTTGCAAATCACGGCATCGTGCAGTTGATGGGATGGGATGTGTGGCATGATTAAAATGCTGTTAAGAAAAAGTGGAATATTTAGCGCAAGTCAAATGCCGCTTGGAAGGTTCCCTGAAAGAGAGGGCGATCTCCCCCCCCCCGCTTAAAATGGGGTTGGCCAAGGGGGGAGAGGGAAGCCTTGGCTGGAAAGTGGTCCCTTATACGGAGCTTGCAGAGGCCAGAGAGCAAAGGCTCACCTCGGACTCCTAACTCCCTCCAGACCTGGGCCATTTCCAAAGGATTGGGGGGGGGGGAGTTTCAAAACACAACTCAGATTTGACCACTAAGCAGAGAGGGTGGGGGGTTAATATCCAAATCCACTGACTTCGGTTTCATGAAAAAGTCAGATCTTGGAGGCGAAGTTAAAAGGACGAAAAATTTAATGCCCATAGAGAGGGCTGCCTCCAGGCTGGTAAGGTTCCCCTTGGAGGGCTTGGCTCCCTCTCCCAGGGGTCCCATGAATGCTGACCGAAAGATGGGGGTGAAGGGTTGTTGAAGGGCAGATGCTGTTTCCGTTATCCTGGTGCCTTTTTTCTCCTCTGCTCTCCCTTTTTTCCTTCCTTCCTTCCTTCCTTCCTTCCCTCCTTCCTTCTCCATCTGCTCTGCCATTTTTATTTCTTCTTTTTTATCTTCATACAGATAAGTGTCTTTGTTTCACTCCTCCCAAGACCTCTCTTTCGTCAGCCTGGGTGAACCATCTTTTCCAAGCTGCTCTCCGGTTCCTTGCCCTCCCCTCCCGCTCCCCCCTTCCCTCCTGGGGCTCCTCCCCCACCCCTCCCCTGCCCTCCCCTCTCCCCACTTTGGGCCTTTCAGCTGTACAGGAACTCTACAACTTTCACTGTAAAATAAATGAAAAATCCCGACGTTGTTATCTCTTTCGCTGCTCCTTTTGCCTTTTATTTATGTCCTCCATTTCAAGTATGAATAAAGTTAAAACGTTTGCTTTCTTCTGTTAGGGATTCATTCTATTATTTTCCTTTTCCACCCGCCTTTCTTTTTTTCATCCTTTTTTCTCCCCCTGCCCCTTTCGCAGCTCTTCTGGCCGGACGGAGCCCGTGCAGGGAGGGGGTTTAGCAGCTTTGAGGGGGTGGCAGGGGTCTCTGAAGGGAGGGGGGCTTTGCTTTGGTCACCTGCTGGAAGAGCAGCCTGGTCTTCACTGGGGAGGGCGGGGTGGGAGGGGGCAGGGCAAGAGCGGAGGCCGGCGTGGATGGCTTGGGCTGAGTAGAAGGGGTTGCAGTGGGGAACGCACACCTGGAGGCCCCCTGCACATCTGGTGGAGGAATAGGCTGGGGAAGAGGGAAGGCCATTGGCTGAAGTGGGCTGAGCTTGGCCTAAGCCATTCTGGTTCCATCAGGAAGCCACGGTTGGGTTTTGACCAACCCCAAACTGGGTTAGTGTAGAGATGGTTGTGACCTAGTGAAAAGCTAGTCAGTCCCTGCCCCAAAGACCTTTTCCACGCAGGGGTCATCGATCCCACCTCCTCCCTCCCCCCGTGGCTCTTGAAGCCCAACCCGGAGGCTCCTTGAGTGGCTGTGTCTGGGGCCATTCCAGCAGCCGTGTCAGCCCAGAGAGGGAGCCCCAGGGAGCTCCCCCAGCAGCAGGCCTGTCTGCTCCCACATAAGCTACACAAAAGAGCCCCCTCTCGGTCTTCTGCAAATTGAGGCTCTGGCTTCTCCAAGCCTCCCGTGAAGTTCTGGAGGCCTTGCTCGTCACATCCCCTAAAGCAGTGTTTCTCAACCTTGGCAACTTGAAGATGTCTGGACTTCAACTCCCAGAATTCCCCAGCCGCTCTAAAGCAGTGTTTCTCAACCTTGGCAACTTGAAGATGTCCGGACTTCAACTCCCAGAATTCCCCAGCCGCTCTAAAGCAGTGTTTCTCAACCTTGGCAACTTGAAGATGTCTGGACTTCAACTCCCAGAATTCCCCAGCCGCTCTAAAGCAGTGTTTCTCAACCTTGGCAACTTGAAGATGTCTGGACTTCAACTCCCAGAATTCCCCAGCCGCTCTAAAGCAGTGTTTCTCAACCTTGGCAACTTGAAGATGTCTGGACTTCAACTCCCAGAATTCCCCAGCCGCT